GCTACAACTTCTAAATCACCTACACACTATGCACACTTATATAGCAAAGTTTACAAATGATCAATTTACGATCGTAAAGGCCACATTGTTAAATTTTGCTATGATGCACAAAAATCCACTAAGACAAATGTTCCATGTGCATTTTCATAAGGCTTCTTCTTCATCACATACACATGCACATACATCAATTGCTCATCATAAACATGCCTATATGTACAAATATGATTTTATAGTAGATTTGGTCATTTGGCAAATTTTGTTTTGATTTAAAAAGAGTTTCTCATTTGCAAAATAAATTTAAAAGACAATCCTTATTTGCAAATAATTCCCGTGAACGCCCACTTGATCAACACAAATCATTTAACCATTTTCATTGCACCTATTGCAATCGGAAAGGTCATTCGTATAATTTTTTATTTGACTGTGCTAGTGCACTAAATACGCCCAAATGGGTTCATAACCCTGGGGCTTTTGAGATTAAATGATAGGGGTCATGTCCCTAAATCTTTCGGCACCAAGAATGTTTAGGTGCCAAAATCTCTTTTATTTTAAACCAAGCTTTTTAGTGTTTTTATTTTTTATTTCTTGGTTTTGAAAAACATGTTTTTAAAATTTTTGAAAATAAAACAAATTTTTAAGTCAATACTTTTGTTTTTCATTTTATTGGCTTTGATTTTGATGAGAGGTTTGTGTTTGAGCAACCCCCAAATTTATTGGTTATTTATTTTCATATCATGTTTACCGGGTGCTAAAAAATTTTATATGGGTTGAAACAAACTCAAGAGCTTGATATGGTTGTCCCTCTTGCCTTTTTATTCAAAAATTGATATTGATTTGTTTTTATGGAATTTTATTTGATTTATGATTTCATATGAGTGATTTGTTTTTCATTTGGATTCTCATGAGTGACATGATTGTCATGGTTCTCATGATTCATTTTCATTTGAAAATATTTTTTCATGATTCTCATGTTTTTCACTCTTGATTTCATAATTTTTTTTTATTAGGTTTTGTTTTTAAACCGTTGCTTTGAGACACCTCTTTCATAATGATATATCTTTATGTGTTCTCTTGGCCTTTTTGAATGTGAGTCTTTCATGTTTTTCTTACTCACATTTTAATGCCTTATATTTTATTTTATATATATGCATTAAGGCATTTTGATAGGGGAAGCTTTTTTCTATATTTGTTATATACTCACCATGCTTATTGGTAAGGTGAGCCTTCGCTCTCTTTCATTCTTGTTGTTTTTCCCCATTTTTGATGTTGCCAAAGGGAGAGAAACATTATGAGTGTAACTTTGGTTTTATGCATGATGTTTATGATTTACATTTTCTTTTAGTATCATGCATATTTTCTCTTTGTGTAGATTGTTTGTCATCATCAAAAAGGGGAAGATTGTTAGCCTTGTTAGATCTCTTGTTTATAAGCCTACTCCCTAATCTTATTTTGATGATTACAAACAATTCCTAACAACGTTTGTTAAGTGTTATATTTGATTGTTAGGTAATCTACACAAATATCCAAATCAGATGTTAGATGGAATCGAGCATTCACGATCATATCTATTGGAGGATGAAAGAAAATATTGGTATGAAGCAATACAATTCAAGTCAAGTTTTGGGTTTTGGTTTTTCATGTTTATATAAATATGAATTTGTGAAAATGTTGAGTAATTGGTTTATAGACTTAACAACAATAGTTTATATCTTTTATTAAGTCTATAAAATTATTTTATAAAGTTTTAAAATATTGTTTAAGTCAAAATGTCAAAAATATGTGTTGTTTAGTTTTCATGTTTTGGATCTTTTTGCAAAATGAAGAGATTTCTCATTTGGGAGGTGCAATTCCAAATAGACTTTTTGTAACATGTTTATTATCATGTTTACAATCATTCCCCAAAGTTTTATATATTTTAGAATTTATTTGCTATTTTTAAAAGGGTTTAAAGTTTAATTTTACTGTTCATTTCAGGTTGATAACATGTTATCGGTCGACTGATGGAGTTGATCAGTCGACTGATGAACTCGACTGGAATTATCAAAAGTTTCTGTTTTTGCAACCGATGAGTTTACCAGTCGACTGATGAGGTTTTTAGTCGACCGATGAGCTGTGGGCTGCCTGTAACGGTCAGCTCATCAGTCGACTTATATTGTTCATCAATCGACCGACGGCCTCTAACGACTAGTTTTTCCCAATGTTGAAAATAGCGTTAACGCATAGCGTAACGCTTACCTCCGGTTAGGTTACAATAGCGATAACGTATAGCGTAACGTAGGTTAAATAATTTATTATTATTTAAATAATTTATAGATATATAACATTCAAAATAAAAAAATATGAATAATCATTGCAATTTTTAATTTCACAAATCAATATATCATCACAATTTCACAACAAAATCAATCATGTTTGCCTTAACAATCAATCCAAAAGCATAAAATACTTCAAGTTCGAAACCAAATCATAGACATTTTAACAAAACAAGCATTTCTAAGTCATTAAGTTTTAATAAATCCTACAAAATGAGTCATCCTCCACTAAATCAATCCCTCATAGGCTCATACTACTAAAATACTAAGTCGTCCTCCTCATAGGCTCATAGGCTCATACTACTAAAATACTAAATCAATCCCTCATAGGCTCATTTTAATAAAGTTAAACAGTAGAATAGACAGCAACAAATAATTTAGGCCACCAAAATAAAGTTAAAGTGTTAATCAAACATCAGGTTCAAAGTTAAATAATTTTGGTTACTTTTCAAGAAACTTTTCGTCAGCCACATGTTATAAAGCTACCGTAGACTTTTAATTAAAGTGGGAGAAAAATTCAAAGTTAAAAACCAGAAATATCAAGAGATCAAAATCAAAAAATTCGTGAAGATTTAAAACTCACCGAAGACGCCCTAAGCTCGGCGAAGCCCCAAAATTCGACGACGACGAATGCCCTAACTCCTAAGCTCGACCGAAGACGACGAGGACGACAAAGTTCCAGTCGGGCGACGAAGACGAGGACGTTAACTCCTAAGCTCGACCGAAGACGACGAGGACGACAAAGTTCCAGTCGGGCGACGAAGACGAGGACGTAAAGGTGAAGACGAGGACCGGAGAAGAAGAAGATGACGAAGGCCCTAAGGTCGGCGGGAGACGACGACGAAGGTCCTAATCTCGGTGGGAGACGACGACGACGGAGACGAGGACGTGACGGTGAAGACGAGGACCTGAGACGACGAAGACGAGGACGTGACGGTGAAGACGAGGACCTGAGGCGACGACGAGGACTGAGGTTAGATTCTGAGCGACGGCTTCTCAATTTTTTTTAGGGTTTTGTTGAATTTCAAGTCAATCACAGCCATTGTTTTTTTTTTAATAAATCCTAGCCATTAATCAAATAATGCGGGTTAAGAAACGTTACGCAAAAACGCTACGTTACGTGCGTTACGGCCTAAATAGCGTGTGTTATTCTTCATCTACGCTATTTCAGAACGCTATGTAGCGTTATCCTCCCGCTACGTCACGCTAAACGCTATTTTGCGTTATATGGCGCGTTATTTTCAACATTGGTTTTTCCAGCTTTTTAGGTTTCCATTTTTTTTTGTCTTTCTTGATTTTCTCTTAATTTTGGGGTTGTTCTATGATCCTGTATATACTCTATACCCTCTAACTTCTGAGGGTAATCAAGAGAATGTTTTAAACAAGTTTAAGAGAGTTTCCAAAGAGTTTAAAGTTTTGTTTAGTTTGTTTAAAGGTGTTTAGAGCCTTGTTTTAAGTTTGATTTTGTGAAGAGATTTTCATAAGAGCTAGAGGAGATCATCCTTGTTGTTTGAACTTCATCTCAATCTCTCTCTCTTGTCATCATAGAGAAGTTTCCTTAAACTCAAATTCTAGCTATTTATTATTTTGATTATAATTTCCATAAGCTAGATTTTACATTGAGTTTATATTAATTTTCTCTTTGTTACACACTCACTTGAGTTTTTAGTGTTTTCATACATAGTATATTTGAGTGTTGAGAGATTGTAACATTGAGTTGGGCTTCATTGTGTTCTCATCTATTGTAGAGAACAAATTATTTGTATTTGAGCCTTTATTGTGTAGATCACTTTGTAATACATATGTACACCGAGAGAAATGTGGTGAGAGACGGGGTCGGTTCCAAGAAGAGTGGCGTCGGTAGTTAAGCCTAAAGAGATGTCGGAAATCCGAACACTTGAAGAAGGACACGGGCTAGAGACCAACACTTAGAAGGTGTAAAGTGTGATTGCTAGAGTGTGAGTTGTGAAATTTTTCGGTGAGCTAGAAAACCGAGATTGTGTTGTTGTAAACGTTTTTTGGGTAAGCGTCGAAAACCCGGTTGTGTAGTGGATTCTCCCCGGGAGTGGAGAGCGGAGACGTAGGTCGGAAGGACCGAACTCCGTGATCATTTCTTTGTGTTTGTGTTTGCATTGGCGTATTTATTTGTGCTCATTGTTTATTCATTCTATATTGACATTGCTCGTGTTTATTTGCCATTAGTTTACATATCATTGCATATAGTCTTTTGAATATCATACTTGCTAGGATATTATTGTTAATTAGTTTTAAATTGGTATTAAATCAGATTAGATTAGCATTCACCCTATTCACCCCCCTCTAGGGTGCTTTCAGTTGGATCTCATAACCTACAGTTAGATCATAGATTGGCTAGTGGAGATTTAGACTCCATGGAATTTGCCATCCATTAAAGTTAGACCTTCACAAACAAAATTTGTTTCATATGTAACCAACAACAATTATCATAAAGCCTAAAAGGACCAAGTGTGGAAGTTATAAAGATGAGTTCAGATTAATGTGCACTGCGGACAACACAATGGGTAGGAAATTCCACCCCCTCCCCCACCCCCCACACACACACACCCACTCACCCACAAATGTTGTCTCAAGAAAATGCAAAAAAGTGAATCAGATGGGGATATATTATCTCTCTACGATGCAAGTAATTAGCAAAAAAGTAATTCTTACTTTAAATAGCATTGCAGCAGAGAGACGCTCTCGTAAGCAGTAAATCTGAGCAACATCAAGGGCAGTTGACTCGAACTTAAGCCACCGATCAACTACAACTGAAACAGTGTTGTCAGGAGAAGACATAATCTCCCCTCCCTGCTCCCCAGAGTATGCATTATTTTCCATTTTGTCTTCCTCGTCACTAGAAGCTTCCAGATCTTCATCACTGTCTTCATCATTCACGGTGGCAGGGGCAACTGCCAACTCCATTGCGAGCAACAACAATGGATATGGCCCAACCAATGAGCAATTTCTGATGTACATCCCTCCATCTCCACGAGTCACCTCATCATAGATGATAAGCGGGTTGCCACCAGATTTATTGAAAGATAAACTGAAATTCGAGGAATGAGGGTGCAAGCGAACTTTAGCACCGCTAGCAGTCTCCACCACAGCCCTTTTATTCTGTTTGCAACGTGGGAGCAGTTTTCCAACCATTGGATAAGTACCAGCTGTGAGTACCGCCCGCATTATACCTGCATCCTGAGCATTCAAGCTACAACCGGAAGTGTCCTCTGGAATAAATCCAACCCTAACCAGTTCAGTGTGGAGCTGCTTACGCATGTGAAACAGCATGTCCATAGTGTTGGATGAAACAAAGTACCTAGTACAGAAATGAGACTCTTGGCCCCTATCTTTGGCTCGCTTCCAACACTCGAAAGCTGCAACAACTGCTAGCTGATCACTATAGCCGCCATATAAGGAAGCTAATTCAACTTTTGCAGCGGCAGCTTTCTTCTTCTCTTCTGGGGCCATGGGCAGAACAAATGGTTCCCTGTGATCAGCTGCACATGCTAGAGTTAATGCAGGTTCAAGACAGTTCATCAAGATTGAAAACAGAAGCATCTTGCTGGTCGATGGATGAACTGGAAGTGCACCCAGTTTCTCCCCAAGTTCTGTAAGTTTTTCATCTAGAGTTAAAGCACCAATGTCCTGAAGAACAATGATTCCATTCCGTACAGTTTCATAAACTGGAGGATCCAAAGTTTTCTGCAGAAAGTCTGCTATTTGACGTTGGGGGTCGAGCAACTTCACCTGCAAGAGGAAAGAGTTAGGCAAAACTGTTTAACGTAATAAAGATTTAGAAAGGAATCAAGTGAAAACATGCCTGCAAACAGAGTTCCTCAATAGGTATCCTCTTTATTTCAGGAACCTGGTAGTCTGGCAAAGATGCTGCTCGGCTTTTTGAATAGAGATGGTAACAAGTTCCTGGTTGACAACGGCCAGCACGGCCCTCACGCTGTCTTGCACTAGCCTTTGAAACCCAAGAGGAATGAAGAGTAGATACATTGCTATAAGGATCATAACTTTTCTCCTTCATCCTACCACTATCTATAACATACACAACGTCATCAATTGTAACAGCAGTCTCAGCAATGTTGGTCGAAAGGATAATTTTTCTAACACCAGAAGGTGGACGTTTGAAGACCTTCTTCTGCTCAGAAGATGGAATCATAGAATGGAGAGAAAATATAATAAACTTTGAGCTATCTGCAAAAAAAGGTGAACCAAGTAACCTCTCTCTTGTTTGATTTATATCGTCCCATCCAGAAAGAAACACTAAAATAGCCCCTTCCTTAGAGTCAGTACATATTCTCTTAACTATGCGTTCTATGAGTACAGTGTCAATAAGTTCCGGATTGATACTTGATAGGTATTCCTCAAGTAACTCCTCCTCTTCAGCTAATTTTGATGAGTCTTTCTCTAAATGCTTTTTTATTATATCATAAACCTGCTGTTGATTTTCTCTCTGAGCCCAATCCAATGCCGAGCTTCCATCTTTGGCAGTCAAAAAGCAGTCGGCACCGAAAGAAAGAAGCATACAAACTTCCCCTACCCGACCTTTTCCAGAAAACACCATCAATGGTGATATACCAGTTAATGAATGCTGGTAGTTGTACACTTTCAAGGTTTGCTTGGAGGATAATAATTCCAGCAAAGGGTCATATTCATCACTTGATAAGGCCAAGTCAATTGATTCATCGAGAGCAGCTCTGTAATCTTCCGTTAACGAAGTGACGTCCTCCATACTGCTTAAGTCAGCAAGATTCACATGGTTATCATCTGCTGATCTTAATATAGATAGCACATCCTCCAAGTAAAAAGATTTGACCTAAAGCAAAACAAGTCTACTGAGTTACCACAGACAAACATAAGTTTGTTCGAGCATAAATAAGTATTTCAGAAGAACGTTCCGGTTCTTACCGGATGGGTAAATCCTGGGACCTGAATAATAGGGCAGCCACCAAAGTACTGAGAGAACCGCTCAGCATCAATAGTAGCACTCATGAGAATCTGCCATAGTAAAGCAAAAGAGGAAGGAAGAAATTTTTAATAACTTCCACAATTTGTATGCAATGCTAGATATGACAACCAAAATTCCCATTAATTATCATTAACAAGACCAAAGGATCATGCTCACCAGGCGCACATGAGGACATACAGGCAGCAAATCCCTGCAGCCAATCACAGTTCATGAGGATTAAGAACTTGTTCCAAAACTAGTATCTTAATTGACATCTTCCTACATTTACAAAATTGTCAACACGGAAGTGTCAAGACAATCAGAGTCTATACCAGAAGAAACATTATATTCTTCTAGTGCATGCATTAAAAGAAAAAAAATTGCAACTGTCATTGGAAAGAAAGAGGTTTGATAGACCCGCAATTCTAGAAACTTGGATAAAAATCCCATGTGAATTATTTTCATTTCTGTCACTATAGGGGGAAAAGAAGCATGCAAGGACCTTAAACTACAAAAAAGGTGTCTTAGTAACACATGTTATTTTTTGCACCACCAATCCTCCATACAAGTATATGATGTTGTAGATTATTTTTCACTGCAAAACAAAAGACCATAAGAGACAAGTTGCATAGACTTAATCATCACAAAGGATGAATAAACAGATGATAATACATTAGGTTCTATTTTGTGGCATGAAAACCGTTATGTGAATGATGCAGACTGCTTCACAAATTGATGAAACAATAAAAGCAGACTGCTTCACAAATTGATGAAACAATAAAAGTTATGTACCTGAAAATTGCAAGCATGAAATCAGAAAATCTGTCCCTTTCATGAATTTCATCCTGTAAAAATAGTACATATTACCCTCAATTGAAAGATGTAAGCATGTAATTCAGTTAAAAGCAGCTGAAAGAAACATACAATTTTCTAGGGATATGGCTGCTTTTGTGTATCAGAAGGAAAAAGAATATACATGTCTCGCAAAAGTGCAATACCTACATTTGCATTCATTTAAAAGGAACCTATATTCCTAGACAAGAGATTTACCAACTGAATAATCCAGCAAACTTCTAACAGTGGAATAATATCTGCAAAAAGTTACCACAACTTGCAAGACAGTCGGTGCTTCCGTGCTTTTTAATGCAATTTTTTTGCCATTTTGGAAAAACTAATGAGCGAGTAACAAATAGAAAAAGTTGTACTCTCCTTAAAGCGCCGCTGAAGCTCAAAATTGAAAAACATGGGCTCCTGCAGCATTACAAACAACTTCCTGCTTCAAAGACCACATTGGAGTTTCGATCATAATCTAATTGTACATAATGCTAGATTATCTGTGAATACAAAAAGAGAGGATTTGGAAGCCCAACAAATCTTGGAAAGGAATATCTTAATCCTATCATCAATAATTCAGCTTTATTGGATAGAGTAGCAATTTATTTGGCCAGCCATCATCAAATAATAAGGAGAATGGCCAGCCATCACCAAAGAATAAGAAGAACAGCAGAGAACAAGAAATGACAACTAGGGTGAAACTTTTTTCCCTGGTGTATATCTCCGTGTTTTACAGGTGATGCAAGGAGGGGTTTGGGTGTGGATTGTGTGAAAAACCTTTCAGAATATATCCTTTTACTTAAAATATAACATAAATGCACTTGGGTGCTAACTACTCACATATGGAGTTAAGTTGTGATTGCTTCTTCAGAAAATCAGTTATACCATCTTTTATGCCGAATCTAAGTACTTTCCTCATTTGAATCTGTCACATTTCTTCAGATATGATCCTTCAACAAATTATGTGTAAGACCCCCATTTAGTCCCACGTCAGGAAATGAATGAAAAATTAAGTAGCTTAAATAGGTAAGTCCAAAACTCAAGTGTAACATCGGCTAATCGATTTTGGCAGTGGATAGAGCCAAATAACATGTTACACTCGGTATGTCCCACGGCTTGTACCGCGCCAATGGACCCGCAAGTCCGGGGCGTGACAAATGGTATCAAAGGAGACCTACTATACCAGGTGCCATCATCAAGGGTCAATGAGGTCAGCCAAGGTGACCATCAATGCTTTTGAATTGGGGATCACTTCCGTCAGAATTATATGGGCAATCACTGTAGCAGAATGTCCATCCTCGAAAGGAGAGGCCCAATAGGCAACCATGAGAGAGGGGGCATCAGACAGCTAGAAGGAAGCATCTTAGTTCCTGATCCTGATCTTCAGAACCAGGCAAGAGGTCCACAGCGGCAGTCTGCTAGCGAGCAATCCATAATGAAACAGGTCTCATATGAGAGGGTACGCAGTCAGGATAGCAGAATCAGGCGGAAGATAGGCTGTGCACATACATGGGTAGCCCCATGGGAGCAGGTTTTGAAAGAGAAAAACAGGCCGCATCAATGACATTCAATATCAAGCAAGCAGGGAAGATCAGCTCCGCTGGAACAGTCTCATCATCGATTTCGTTTTGACCACTTCGTTCTATTGGAGCATTTGGGGTGGGGAAGAAGGTTTTGATAAGAAGTTTTTTCTTCGTTGAGGGGAGTAGAGCAATTGTCACTTGTCAGCCGGAAGCATGGAGCTAAGTGCAATGTGAGGCTAAGTGTTATATTGCATGAGCACGGTGGGAGCCACCTCTAGAGCCCATAGGAGCCATCTCTAGAGTCCACACCACCTGGTGGGTGGTGTTAGGATGTGTTGATTGTCATGTCGTGATGAGGACGTCGCTCACGTAAGGTGGGGTGATTGTGAGACCCTCATTTACTCTCACATTGGGAAATGAGTGAATAATTAAGTAGCTTAAATAGGTAAGCTTAAAACTCAAGTGTAACACTGGCTAGTCGATTTTGGCTGTGGATTGAGTCAAACAATGCATTACACTCGGTGGGCCCCATGGCTTGCATCGCGCCAATGAGCCCGCAGGTCCTGGGCGTGACTATGAGGATTGCAACCAAGACTTTGAAACAGCACAACTTCACCAAATAAATGGGCAGAGAAGGTTACAGAACTAATTTCAATAATTTCAAATATTAAAACATATAACAGTGATATGGATTATTCCAACTGTCCAAGTCAGGTTAGTATAAAATGAAATCAGAAAGTGGCATGCAGGCTAAAAGACAACACATTCCACAAAGACAACACATACCACAATAACATGGGTTATTCCCTGAAGTCCATCCGTAAGCGGCTTGGTTGCAGTTTCTCCATTCGTTGCATTTGTGCCTCGGCTAATTAACAACCTCAAAAGGACCCCATTTGTGCAAAACATAATTGACGATTGTTTTCCTCCTTTAGACTCCAGACGTATCTGAAAATTAAAGAGAATAGGGTTACTATTGACATGCTAACTGCAAACCACTGGGAATAGCATGCTCAGATAAAAGATGCTAAACTCAGACATTATTCTGTTAGCCAACTCCCCTACAAAGCTTAGTTTCATGATATTTATTGTGAGGGTCCATTTCAATCGATCACTTCCATGTATTAAAATCGAGGAACACAATGTAATAATCACACTAATCTGCATGGCATATTTTCGAACAAAGATTGTCTTGTTTCGCAAGTGAAAAGCATAAGCATGATAACTCCATGTATCACATCTACTCCTCCATGCTTAAAAGGAGAATTCAAAGATTCATTGTTCATGCTACAGCAATACTACAGTAAATATTGTAGCATAAACCGTGGATCATGCACTCCAAGTTATTGTTCATGCTACAGTCATAATTCATAAATAGTGAATCAAATCTCCTCCATACTTGAATTTACTATTCATACTACAATAATTTATTGTATCATAAACAGTAAAACAAATCAAATGTATTAAACCTTGGATCCTTCTTTTAAGTATAGAGGAGTAGATATGATTTCTAATTTTAAGCATACAATAATTAAATCAAATGTATTAAAGCTTAGAGAGAGGCAAGCTCAAAATGCAGTGCTTAAAAATATAGGGGGGTGTGCTTTGCACGGGGTGCACACTAGTTCAGCTAAAATTGAGAAAGGTACTCAGTATAATCTAATTTTAACTTAATAACTTTGTCCTTCAAAATAATGTAGGGAACTGGGTTACTTCCATAATGAATAGGCAACAGTGGTTGCGGTGTATGGCATCAAGTATCAGTCATAAACAAATTCCAAGTTAAAAGTGTTAAGTATATGAAGAAAAAGTGTACCTTATATCCGACGGTATCACCAACATTTTCTCCTCTCTCGTAAGAGATTCGATCAGCCACTACAAACCCACAGCCCCAGCATAAGCATATATTTTGTTAAAACAAAAAACATAGTTAGATATATATATATATATATAAAGTACCTGAAATAGCAGATATACGTCTTGGTTGTGTGCACACAATTTTGCAAGTTTCACCCTTACCCCAGATATGATCCAAGATATACTGGGGGACCTGAAATATGCAGAGGATATAATAACGAGCATACAAAGGCAGCAGATACCTATGACCGACCATCCATGCAGTGGATATTTTTCAAAGCATTAAACCAACGTCAGAATGAAAACTGTTCAAGAACCAAATGATTTAGCCTAGTTTTCAGGAACTCCAAGAAACACCACTTGTTACAGTTACAACTTTCAAAGACAAGAAAAACATATTTCATAATATATCACATAATAAGACAATGGCTAGAAATCATGGTTCAACATCATTCTGGATCAGAATTGTGTGCAGAACATCAAGGCTTATAAAAAAACAAAAATAGTCATTTTACCACATACTTTTGAAATCGACTAAAAACTAATCCATCCATTCAGCACCATTGAAGTCAACCTTATGTACGCCCCCAAAATATGCACTTTAGGTTTAAATAAATAGAGATCAGTTGAGTTCTATGATGGTAATCAACTCGCTACGGCAATTCTCTTCCTTTATAATAGATTAGGGCACGTTGTGGAATAAAAGTGCGCCACACACGAAATTATTAGACATCAAAACTGCAGTTGCAGATTTCAGGAAATGCATTAATGTCATCTAACAACCGACCGTAATATGTACTAAACTGTCATACAGGTTCATACTGTTGAAGCATACTCAAGATTAACTGATTGCTAATATGCTTTCTTACTTGTCCAAGGCCACAAATAACTCGAAGCGTAATATATAAAATCAACTCAGAGAACACACAGGAAACCTGAGACATAAGTTGACCAAGAGCATTATTTCGAGCTTGAGGTCAAATTTAAGAATTTCGCAGTTGTCAGCAAAAATACAGAAACACGTGAAGCAAAAGAGCAACCATGGAAAAGCCAAGCAGTATATCAATAAAATCCCATGCAGGGCATGCTAAATGTATCGGAAAAGAGCTTAAAGAGCAAATAACCTGAGTAGTTTTGCCGCAACCAGTCTCCCCTGCTATTAGCACAACCTGGTTTGAAAGATACAACAAAAGATAAATTATACTCGAGTCTTTTAAGAAATTCAGATCTTTGTTCTTTCACAGAAGACTAATGCGTCCATGCATGTGTAACTTCTTTGTAGAGTTTTCACTAAGGTAACATGCATGTGTAACTTCATTACAGAGAAACATGATCAGTCAGTATACCACAGAGCCTCTCTTAATTACAATAATAGGTAAAATGATCAGGAGAGTATATCAAGATGAACTGAAATATCTAAAAGTCCATCGCAGAGAATCCATTAGATAACCAAAGGTCTACGCCATGAAAATGAAAACCTCAGTTTCTACAAATCCATACGCAATCTGCTCGGTGCAGGAGCATACATAAAGATATTTTATTGTTTTACTTGGCCTTGCAATTATAAGGTTTCCTTTTTTTGGTTAGTAAGTACGTCATTCTTCAATTATATTAAAGCATTCAATTTCGTAAAAGACTGCTGCAGTAAAACAGAATACTAGAATTCTGTCATTGAAAAACAACAGATAACTATCAGAGATCAAGTGGGAGCATAAAATACTACTGATCAGCAAACAGTAACCCAATAATCCTTAAAACATGAGAAATTTACCTTGATATCCATCATCTACTCATATTTTAAAAGGTATCTATAAAGTATTTCAACCAAATTGCTTACAGCATAGTAAATAATCTAAAATATTTGAAACTTTGCGGAACCATTTTAGATGCTTTTTACAGGCCCTTGCACTGTGATGTATATATGTACATGTAAGCGCTTTCTGAATCTGTCCAATGGATACCTCAATAAATCGCATACCAGCACATACATATGTAACACTTGGAAACTAAATACTTATGTACGCTTATTGTACCTCTATGATGTACCCAATAATGTACAAGGTACCCCATGATGAATTTTGATCATAAATTCTGTTTTAATATAGCAAGATACAGGTCCTGGCTACAATCTTGAGAAGGGTTATGGCATGTGACATGATCTATATGATTTAGGGCCATGTAACAAATAGCCTCTATATGATTTAGTATGCTAAATGACTTATCTTCTCAGTTCATGTTCAATTCAGATAGTATCGTTTCACTTGATACCCACATTATGACTAAATAAAAGCTCAAGATATGCAATATCTGGTTCCAAATATGATCTTCAGATACTTCTCTATCAATGTTACAAAAAGCAGGTGCTTAGCCCACCTAGGCTCCTACCTAGGTCTTCAGAGTGCCTAGGTAAGTGGGTATCACTTAGCAGATTGCACCGCTTAGGTCTTGGTCGTGATTACCTCAACTAATTCCTCCATGTCCTCTAAGCTCCTCTGAACTCCTCCGGCTTCCACCAACTACGCACACCTCATCCAACTTCTTCGACCTTCAGCAAAACCTCCTCCGCCACCTCTTAAAAAAACCCTCCTAGCCCACACCTAAGTGCTAGGTGCCAATTTAGCACCTAGCGACGCCTAACGCTTTTTATATAACATTGATTGTACTTAAAAAAATAAAATATATATGAAAACACCTAGGCCAGGCCTATGCTCCTGCCTAGACCACCTAGCGCTTTTTGTAACCTTGTTCTCTATACAGCAATTTTAAGAAATACATGTGAATTTATTATATCGAACACAGTGGTCCTATAGAAGTCATCTGAATAAAATAATTTCAACGATCTTAAGAGAGATAGTAGAAGTCATATCTGATTCAGATGGAGTTCGTTTCACTTCAACTGGTTACAGTGCAATCAGCCCTCTGCAAATAACTATACTCATAGACTCAATATGCTTGGAGTGCATTGTTGAAGCCTCGACGTGCCCCAAACAAATAGTGCACTTCGAGTGGAAAATCATTTATATCTAGAATTTGCTAATGTGCCATTATGCACACCATACAAACTGTAGTGTCACCAACACTCATTTTAAAGTTGAAATAATAAATACTTACTCGGCATAAAATGTATTTGCAACAATATCTTGGTGTTTCAACAACAGGTAACCATACACTTATACTAAAATATTGGTGCAGTGGGAATGGGTGGTGTCCCCACAACACTTAATCAAATATATTTTTAGGAAGGCCACAGTTGCAACAGCAAATTTAGCTTTATTTCAGTGTCATTAGAAGAAGACTATTAGAGCCCCACTTCTAAGTGCAAATTCCTCCTATGTGATGTGAACCAGTCAAATTATAGCAAACATGCAAGGGCACTTGCAATTGGATGGGCTGCAACTGGGCCCTTTTTGCAATTAACTAGTTAGAATTGCAGTTCTGGTAATATATGAAGTAGATTCATAATCCTAAAGGCTAAAACATCAGAGAACATCACAAACGCAAAAGAAGGAAAAAAACTTAAATGTCCTTAATAAACAAAAAAAATGACACGAAATAGGATGTGAAAGAGAAGTTGCAAAAGGCAGTAAAGAACCTGATGAGTTTCTAAATTCGCTGTGATGACATCCTTGAAGGATGCAATAGGAAGTTTACTTCGGTTTTCCGCAATCTGCTAGTCCATTTGTCCAGAAATAGTCAAATAACAGACCATGGAAGTAACTAACAATTTAGAAACAGACAAAGAGTTTAGGTTTCTGAAAAAGTTAAATAGCAAGAACCTTTCTTAAGTGGGGATCACCATTCATTCTTTTTGCGAGCAGCTCCACCTTCTTAGCAATTTCACCCTTGCGCATTTTGGGCCTGCAAAAGCTAGAATCTAGTTTCCGTACTCTACTAGCTGCCTCACTACGATTCTCCAGTGCACCTTCAGTCAATTCTCCGTCATCAGGAGGGTGACACGAGAAGAGATCTTGTAGCACATATTTTGCCTCTTCAGATAATGTCAGACAAGTAGCCATTTCTTCATCTTTATTTGCTTTCTGATTCTTCTTGGTCTTGTACGCAGAAAGGCAGCGTCGATCCCCATACCTATAAGATCGCAAGTAATTTATGCTAATACACTACGATGTAAAGGTTTAGAAGACTTATAAAAGTATGGCACAGTAACATTTGAAGTTTAAATCATAAATAGGTTATTACGAGTATAAAGTAGACAATACATACTCTTAGCACACCTGTATTTGTTTTCTTGTAGAAGATATTGACACAATTATGGATAATGTTCAAATATTGCTCTTAATGACATTGGTCTCAGGTCGTATCAGCAAGCTAAATGGATATGATTGAATAGTATGATTATAAAGAGTTAAAAGTTGTAAAGAAAAATGAGTTCAACCTGCAAGTTTAGTTCATTCTAAGTTCTAACAGAAATAGAAATATCTAATAGCACGTTATTTCATATGTGAACATCTGTTTACCATTCAGATTTCAGATGTATCAGAGAGTTTCACGCTCTCCTTACCAGTCTTCATGCTTTAAATAGATAAATAAAATAGAGAATTTGAAAGTGTGATAAAGGCTCAAATGTGTATGACTATACATCTGAATACGCTCACTAGCTCTCTCCTAGGAAGTTAGGCAATAACGTTGAGGTAATGAGCATATCTATAATGGTGTCCTTCACATTCCAGCTGCCTTCATTCACTTTTGATCAGCCTTCACTGTTGGTCAACATAAACCGCTTTGCTGCTTACAGGCACCATGCTAAATCTTTCTTTTAGAAAATAACAATGAGTGATATATGCAACTTACCCAGAACTTTTTGATAGCATTCCCATTTTACGGCACATTTGGTGAACAGCAGCACGTTCTTGTTTCGACATCCCAGGCTCAAATGTGTGGACTGAAATTTAGAGAATATAACTAAATAAATAAGTGTCATAAAAGCATGTGTTTAAAGACTTTAGCAATAGTTTGTATAGCTATTTGTCAAGAAACAGAATGCTATCTGCAAATGTAAATTTCACATGGTAAATTATGTATTGTCAAAATGAACTTGAGTAATCCCAGACTAACAACCTGATAAAAATCATCCCAATAAAACTTTATTCAACTCAGTGCAACAATGTAATGTTGATAAGGCTACAATGCTTAAATCTTAATGAGTGCACAGAGCTTTTTAAAAAAACTAAGCGAATAGATTCCCAAGATATAAAAGAAAAGATTATGGTAAATTAGACGAGAGCCTAATGGATAAAAAGTGTATTCAGCAACCATACTCAGATAACCTAATGTTATTTAGAGACCAAAGCTAAATTGTTGGGAGAAAAAGGAAACTTTTGCAATGGTCTGTTGGTCATAACGAGAGGTTATTTGAGTAATGTCCACTAGATTGGTTTTATTTATTTATTTATTTATTTATTGCTTCTTTTGTATGTTTATATCTTTTCACTCTTCAGTTTGACAAAACTATAATCTATGTACTCTTAGTAGTAAATAAAATAATTTTTAAATTCACACAAAAAAAACTATTTAATCAATTGAAAGAAATATATCTCAAACTAATTTCGATCCATTTTATAAGAAAGAAATTAGATGGAGATGCTTTGTGACATCCAATGATGCCAACTGGTTGGAACTCAAGAGTCCCAACTTACTTCTAGTTACTAAAATTAAATTAATGAATTACGGAAAAATATCTTTAATACAGAATATATCATAACTTTTATCATTTGAATTTTAACTCACAGGTACTAATTTATTATATAATTTTGCAATGTTGAAATAGATCCGACAAAAGAACATAAATAAGACAATTTCTATAGAACCTTTTTTTGTTTACCGACCGCCTGTTAGTTTAGATGTTTTCTTTTAAAAATAGTTTTTCCTATATCTACACATTTACATACGCATATAGTTTGATAATTAATAACCTTATTTATATTGCCCATCAGGCTATTCAAAAATTCTTTTAAAAAATTGCAATATACTATACTAAATATGTACAATACTTTAAAACCTATTGTTGCAAATAAAGAAGTACAATCTACTACAAACAACAAAGTCGTTATCCTAAATTTTTTGAGTCGGCTGCATGAATCGTATGTTTCCATTCATTTCCATTATAGTTCACCTCCTCCATTAAGTTAGATATTATCACATCTTTCTTAGTTTTTTTTAACCAAGTTCTTTTTCAGTCAAGCTATGGTCTTCTTTACCCCCATTAACTACAACCTTATCTCTCTCCTAAACCATTTAGTAGCTTCCATTGCACATGACTAACCATTTTAATTGATTCTCTCTCATTTTTTTCCTTGATAGAGTGACTCTAATATTCTAGAATGCATTCATTTCTTATCATATCTTTTAATATATATCCACAAGACATTGTACCAACTCTCCAGTGTTGTGATGTAATATTTTATGTTTTTATTGCCAGTTGAGGAATTTCCTTTTGGCAAAAGAGGCAGGAACTGATATCCTCCATGATAAATTGTGAACATATATGAAAGAAAAAGGTGGCAGTTTAAGCAATATGAATAAGGCTTCGCTATGTAAAGACTGGTGAACAGGCTATAAATTATCCAATGAGGTTTGGAGACATTGATGAATGTTATAACTTGAAAGAACACCATTACGAATTGAAAAATGTAGGCATGGAAGTAACACATCATTCTTGAAGAAGAATTGCCACATTGAATAACATATTGCTCAAAAACTCATATAAATGTTTAAGGGTATGGAAGATGCTTAATCTTTGGAAGAACTCAATTCAAAATTTCAAATGCTCCCATTTCTTTACAAGGTTGTCTAGGAGGATTAGTGAGCTTTGGGGATTTTACTTACAAATTCATTAACAGTAGGGCTAGTCAACGAAGAAATGGGGCATGTGGTTATGAATATAGGACAATAATGTGAGCCGGTCTATGGAACCTTTCTCTGGAGCAGTGGCGAAACCATTCAATCGCAAGGGGCACAACCCCCCAACCCCCACCCCAAAAAATTTACTTTTAATGATGTTAGACTGCTATTATATTGACTTTGTTAATATGCCCCCCTATTGTAGTTGTTACTTTGGCCCCCTACCAACCACCTAATTTGAAAGAAAACCTCACCCACCCAACTCAAATTATATTTAATAAACAAAAAATTAAAATCAAAAGTTTTAAGCTAGATAGAAAGAAAAAAAAGGAGACTTCCTCTTGGCTCTTGCTCTTGTTCTCCTCATAGATTTTAACCAAAACTACTCGTAACTCTTTCAATTCTTCTTTCCCCTTTCCATTTTCTCTTTTTGATAGTAATGCTTTATTTATTCTTGTTGTGATGTATATATTATTGTGATATATTATTGAAAAATTATCATTATTTGCTAATGACGGAGAATATTATTTAAACCAAAATCGTTATTCTGTGTTCATCATTGTTGATTCGTTATACTATTGTTCATTAATTACTATTTGATATAATCTTTTATTTTCTGATGTTTATATATATTATCCCAATCCTGGCTCTGCCACTGCTCCTGAGCAATCTCGTCCTCGCTATCTAATGCTTGCAAAATATGCACTTCCTTGAGGATGGAGAAAGTGTAGTTCTCAACTTTTTTCCACAAACTTTATATTTGAGGTCACAGAAACAATGAGCCATATGAAGAAACAGTGCCTTATTTCCTGAGTTACAACATAAAGACTCGCCAAAGCTGATTATCATCAAATTTCTAGGGCTGCTCAACTCAGAAAACATATGGGATGTAGGCCATTGGGGCTATGTTTTTGTGATTTTAATTTAATTTACAATAACTGATAGGGATCATTGGACACCTTTCAAAATGATGTAGTTCCCCAAATGAATACATTCCTTTAAGAATGATATACTTACGTTAAGAGCTGAACTGTAGCTGTTTAGTATCAACTCATTAATAACGCTGTGTAGATTAATTCCTTGTTCTAGAAATAAGTGTCAGAGTTCATTTTCTACATCTAAAAAGTCATGTTAAAGAAAAGCATGTAAAATGCATATGGTTATAAACATAAAATCGAAACCTATGCGTCCAGCACCAAGATCAACAAAGAATTTTAAGCAACCAGCAAATTTGGTTGTTCTCAAATACACCGGCAAGAAATGACCGTGTTAAATAGTAAAGTCAACTAGTTTCCTATAAGCAAACAATCCACAAGTTCAAGCTGTTCAAGAATCAACCCTACACTGTAACTTCCACCAAAATTCTTTCCATAGCAATCGGCGCCATTTCTCCAAATTTATATTCTTGATTAAGAACAAATCACAAACCCTAAGCCGAAATTGAAAAAAAATCGATCGGAACCATAACGCAGAGCAAGAAACAAGCATTCTTCCAACTAAAGTTCTATTACCAAACTTAGAATTACCTTGGGCATCAGAAGCACGAAACTCCTCGAGAATCTTGCCGATTCGAATACGGGTGGCCTCCGACACAGAGCCCTGCTGCTGGCCGCCGCCCCCTTTTGACTTCTTCGGCCCATTTCGCCCCATTTCCTCCACTGATTTCCTTTTTTTCCTCGCCACTGTTGCTAGGGTTTCTGAAACTCCTCTTCTCTCTTTTTTTTCCCCTCTTTTGGCGCTTAATTGATTTCGATGGCGTTTTGATTTCTTTTGCGGTCGGCGTTCTTCTTTGCCCTCGTTTGAGTTTTGGGAGTCGAAGGGGGATCGAAGCGCTCCTTGTTTAGTTTCTGGATTTTATAGGAGCGACCTAAAGAGGGGGAGAAATCGGGAGAGGGCAAGCACGAACACGTGAGGGTTCATCGATATTGATTTGGCCCATTTGGGTTAAGTGTGGGTCCCACTATAATTTTGTGGTAGGCCTTCTAAGGTGGATTGTAATGTAGAAAAATGTTAAGATCATCTTCAACCCATTGCATCAAAATAGTGCAAATTTTACATCGAAATGTTGCAAAAATCACATCTAACATTAATTCATCTTTAACTCACTGCAACATTTTTTACACCAAAAAAGAATATTCTCAGTATATTCCTTTTTATCTACTTTTATATTATTATTTTCTATTCCCTATATTTTTAACTATTTCAACAATTAACCCAACATATCAAATTTTATTTTTTTCACATATTCCTTTTTATCTACTTTTAATTATAATGTCTAGATTTTAATATTATAATTAATAATAATATCTTTTAAATTTTAAAATTATTTTTATAATTAAAAATAATTTATTTTGTCCAAATTATACAATTGGAGTAAAATTATAAAATTTAAATATTATTGGGGTTGTTTTATAAATTTAAATAAAATATGAACAGTAATGAAGCGATGAACAGTACGACTCCATATTTGATGCAACACTGTTCAAATGCACCAAAATGGCGCAAGAAATGGGGTAGGGTTGGAGAAGGAACAGTACCAAAAAATGCATTGTTTGCACCATTTTGACGCTGGGTTGAATATGCCCTAAGGGCTGTTTGGTTGTCATGTTTTTTGTGGTGTAATACTATAGGCGTCAGATTGTTACACTAATTTATTAAAAAAGAGTGTTTTTTTAGCAAAGTAGGATGTGATATGACATGATAAAAGCTGAGTTGGCAGCCTTTTATTAATTCCCATCATGAGTTGGTGTTTTAGGGGTGTTTTACTGTAAGTGTCAAGCTAAGGTGGACCACTCAATCTCATATTACTGTCGCAATCCCATGAATTACATAAAACGAGCTAAACATTCCCTAAGTGTACTATTCTCTCATAATACTTTGACACTACTACTCACAAAAAGTGGGGTCATGATGACTCAACACCTAAAAATTGTAGTGGTGAGTCATTATGACCCCACTTTTTGTGAGTGATAGTGTCAAAATAGTACATGGAGTGGTAGATTTATCACTACTCTATAACGTATGGGTGCCTCCTAAATTTGTTATCCATATATAAATTCATATGGTAAATGGAATTTTTACACAAAAAGACCATGTTTTTTTGGATGAGGGAACTTCCCCACGGTCTTTTAGACTATACGCATCAAATTCCTAAACGTGGCTAAGGAACATCCCAAAACGCACGGCCTCATGTAATCTAGTAAATTAAATTAATGTGAGTGAGAGAGTCGAACATGAGACCTTAAAGCATTATTCATAAGTTGCTTACAACTCGGCTAGATCCTCTTAGCCATAATATTAAAGACATATTTGAACTTCGTAAGTTACTTATGTTTATTGATTTTGTTGTAGTTAATACCAATAAACAAACATAATATAAGTGTCAAAACAATGCTGACAGCTTCTGTGCTCAAATAAATGTTTTTTAGTACCTTTCATTGATTCATAAGCTAAATGGCTATTTTGGTGTTGCATGTACTGAGGCCCATACTAAAATTGATATTATACTTACTTTTTTCTCAACTTGTACCGTATCTTTGTTTTAAACTAAAGCCTTTTTAACATCCACTAAGTTCTAGGTGTTAATTTTTTTGTTTATGATCATGTTACCCTCATTGGCATGGCAATAGAATTCATTATTTTCGAACATTACCATTATAGCCTTCTGTAGTGAACGGTGTATATATGAGATTATGTTATAATCTCCTACTATTTGCATCAAATATACACAACTATAAACAAAATTTTTAACTTCTCGCTTTCGCTCCATGGAACTTCAAATAGGATTCCGACACCCTGTCAAAATATTATTTTGGATGATACCTTGCCAGGTATTGAAAGTTAAATTCATGGATACAAGTATGAGAATAATAAATTAAGAAAAAAATTTGTTAGATAAAAAATTAAATTGCAAAAGACCCAATCATCAGTAATTTAAACTAGCACACCATTATATATATATATATATATATATATATATATATATATATAATATATATATATATATTATATATATATATATATATATGGAAAAGTGAATCTAAGGTGACACCCTAGGCTCCCACCTAAGGACGCGGCCTAAAATCACATCATTCCCTAATATTTTTCTACGATCCGCTCCGTTGAACTTGATCTATACGTTCTTAAACTCAAACACACTAATTTTGGGGTGAACCCGTCGTGTTTTGACCATTCGTTGAGTCGTCCAAAAAGTTCTATTCATTCGAAACCGTTAAAATTGCGGCGAGTGGATGAAGGGTCAAAAATGACGGGTTCACGCCAAAATTAGTGTGTTTGAGTTTAAGAACGTGTAAATCAAGTTCAACGGAGCGGATCGTAAAAAAAATTAGAGAATGATGTGATTTTTAGGCCGCCGTCCTTAGATGGGAGCCTAGGGTGTCACCTTAGATTCACTTTTCCCTATATATAATATATATATATATATATATATATATATATATATATATATATATATATATATATATATATATATATATATATATATATAATATATATATATATATATATATATATATATATATATATATATAAAGATGAGGCTAAATTTTAGAAAGACACCCTTATATTTGGACATTATCAAGATATCCACCTACACCACCCCCCCCCCCCCTCAATATTAGAAACCACCCGTTAACCTGGGGCTTATATGAAAAGCCCCTTTTAGCTTTAGGATTTTTTAGAAAAATCCCCTATACAGCATAGCAAAGCAATTTTTGAATGGGTCGATAAAATAAACATCGGGGATAATTTGCAAATAAAAATTCTGGTTTATGCTTTTCTGAGCTTTCTCTGGAAAAATCTTAAATTTAAAAGGATTTCCTAATATGGGATTTTTTTAAATTTTTTTTGATATTTTGAAAATTAAGAAAGGTTATCTCATAATCATCCAAATTTAGGAGGTTTTCTGAAATTTAGCCTAAAAACAAACATGTGAAACATTTATTGTCTTCGCGCATAATCGTTAGCTCATCATTTTCATTATTTAATAAGCTGGCTTTGCTGATGCTTTTTAATACCAATTCAGATCATATTCCATTTTTAAACAGACGAAAGGAAAAAAGAGTAAAAAAAGGAAAATTATGAAAATATTAATACCTCCACAACATAATTAAACAAGAAGATAAAAAAAAGTATTCAACGGAATATCTCTTCTCATTTGTTAGGTTAGCATTGTCCTTTCAAGTTATATTTAACAGAATTTTTAACAAAAAGTTTTTAAAAAAAACATTTAAGGGTACAATGACCAAGTTGAGAAAAAAATAAGTATGATGACCAATTTAAGTAAGGAATCCTAGTACTGAGACCAAAATAGTCTTCTAGCCGATTCATAATGAAATTGTCCGAAAAAGATATGCTCTATTTATTCATATAAGATATTTCTCTCACGTTAAATTATATGAAATGTCACAATTTTATACCACACTAGTTCTTGTGCACATACAATGGCACGTGGTTAAATATCAAATTATTTTTTATTTTTTATTTCCTTATTATAAAGCAAGTCATATTTATTTTAAGCTAAATTCTATAAATATGGATTATTACATTTGTCATAAATTGTATTTAAACATTTTTTTAAAAAAAATTATAAAATGGATTTGTGTGTAAAGCTAGGATCAATATACTTTTATATACTTGCATACACAACATTTATTTTTTAAATTATATCACACTTCATGTAACATATTTGTTTATCGTATCAAATCATTGATTTCCAATTTGTTTATCTTAGTCACTAAATGTAGTGTTAAGTTTGGAAAAATATAATAATATATTGTTGATGTGTTAATAAAAATATAACCAAATACTTAATATTAAGATGGTTTGTATAAGCTCAGCACAAAGCACATACTTTTCACAAGACTACAAGACAACTTAACTATTTATAGACTTAAAATAAAAAAAATAAATACTAAAGATTAATGATGACTCTAGTATAATTTTATTCGACAAAATCATTCACATAAGCATATTAAAACTTTTGCATGAAAATCATTTCTAAAGTTCCTAATTTTACACAGAAAATTAACTTAGACTATAAAATATTTTTAAAAATAAAATCCTTTATTCCTTCTTTTTCATATGTAGTTGACCTGGTATCAATTATATATTCTCCACATTTATCTTTTTCCTGGGCAATTTTACTATAGTGTCTTCATCGTGTATATCAATTGTGATACCATGTTGGTATAATAGAGAGTAAAAGGTGAGGCAAGAGTCCAGAAAATATATTAGGATATACTTGGATCAATCAAATGATATTATTACTCGTATTTAATATGCATCAGAGATAAAATGTGTTGGCAATTTTAAACTATAAAACAGATTATATAGACCCTCTAACATAACTTTTTTAATGTAAGCAACCCTTAAGATTAATTTTAAAAATCTGTTGGAGCCAGGAATAAACAATTGACAAGTTTGCAGTGGAAGCTAGGGGAACACAATACATTCTTAAGAATTATTAATCTTTGCTTAATTTATTTATAATGATAGGATCTCATTATTAACTAACTATAAGGCCTAGTATTGTTGATGTTTGATATCACACAACTAATGAGAGCTATCCGCTGATGGATGCAGCTCAGATCTTCGCACTGATGACGAAGAGTGAGAGGATGAGAGATGGGGCCACTTCCTACTTTGACTTTATGCCTGGTTCTTAGAACTCGGGATGAATGGATAACATGCACACGAAAGAATCGTGAGAGGACGGGGCTTGTTTCCCTCATGGTACCTCTGACGATCAAGTCAGTTGGTGAACTTGAATGGGGTGAAAGAAGAACGATGTATATATCCTTATGCAATAGGTGCTTTTATTTTTGGGGTTTTAGATTGCGAACCTGCCGACTTGCCCATCCCTTTTTTATAGCGAATAACATCTGTATTTATAGAGGATGCCAAGGACATATTGATCACTTTATATGTGTACTATAAGACAATGGTGAGGAATGAGCTGGAGGTTGAGTCAGCTTTTGTTCTATACGTGTCGGTTTATGAGTGATGGGAGGTAACTTCAGCGATATTGGGGGCCAGCAGCCGATGAGTCTTGTCGATTTGTGAGTGACGGGAGGTCACTTCAGTAATATTAGGAGTCGGCAGCGAATGAGTCTTGTCGGTTTGTGAGTGACGAGAGGTCACTTCAGTGACATTGGGAGTCAGTAGCCAACGAGTCTAGTAGGTTTGTGAGTGACGGGAGGTCACTTCAACGACATTGGGAGCCAACAGCCGACGAGCCTTCAGACGGCTGAGGATAGGGACATAATGATGATCATTAAAGATTAAATAATATTAAGAAGTAATATTCTAGGTTGTCCTCAGGAGGAGTTCCAGCTAATGCTGAATAGCGATCTTTTGATATGAAGAGAATCGACTGAGTCCGCCTCTGAAGTCGTATTTGAGGAATGATGCCGACTCGATCGGGGGAGTGACGGTTCGGCTGTCCTTCAGGTCGACTTCGAGGAGTGTTGAATCTCTGAAATACTGATTTTTGTACCGACTAACACTGCCTTCCGAGTCGGCAGATCGCGTCGGCTCGGCTAAGGGGTCGAGATGCCTTGAGTCGACCAACAATATCTTCCGAGCCAGTCTGCCTGGTGGGTAAAGGTGTTGGCTTGCAGGATTGCATATTTACGGAGAATAGGGGACACCCTATAACATATATTATTATTTTTATTATGCGTTAAAGAAAGGCAGAGAACCTAGGTAAGTCCTCATCACAATGAATGTTATACAATTTAAGTATAAAGGAAAAAGAAGAGTTGATCAATAGTGTAGTTGGTGAGGGGGAAACTCTAAAAACGTAATTTGGATATGTGGATATATTATAGATGGAGATCGAGAAGAGTGGTTTTGAAAACTGTGGGTTTGTGGGAGTATTTTAATATGGTTTGTGGTTTTCTTTGTTCATTTTCAAGATATTCGTGGTCTTGTGAGTATATATAGCTATAACATTACTATTCTCTTTTGATTTTGTTGAATAGTTTGGGTGTAAAAAAGTTTTAAATTATCTAATCGGCTAAAGTACGATCATATAAGTTAAGCCTACACATGAAATTTATTTTAACCAATACATATATGTAAGTATTACAAATGGCATTAAGATCTAAGATATGTGTGAGATTCTCTTTGACTTTTATACAAACAGTATTTATTTAAATAATAATAGTATAATTAAACTTTATAATATGGAAAAAAGATCAAATATATAATATAATTAATTACTTTAAAATAATCTAATAAGAAGAAAATAGATGAAAGTAATGTGAAAATTATTATAATTTCATAATTCATAATTTTTAAACAATCTAATCTAATCTAATAAAAAGAAAATAACAAAGACATATACCTGTTAAAAGAGATGAAAGTTCTATGAAAAATTTTATAATTTCTGATCTAAAAAAATCAAACATACCATATAATTAATTTCTTTAAAATAATCTAATCTAATTAGAAAGAAAATAGATGAAAGTATTGTGAAAATTATTGTTATTTCTTAATATGGAAAAAGTATTAAATATATAATATAATTAATTACTTTAAAATAATCTAATATAATCTAATAAAAAGAAAATAACAAAGGCACATACCTATAGAAGGAGATGAAAATGCTATGGAAATTGTTGTAATTTCTTGACTTATATATATTGGTATGTGATATTGCATGTGAGATGATAATAATAATAAATATTGTTCTTTTTAAATAATAATATAATTAAACTTTAAAACTAATTATACAGTACAATGAATAACTTGAATTTTAGTCGGTGAGAGATCGTCACGTTGTATCCTCAGGTCACAATTGTTTGTTTTAATTTTTCTTTTTTAGAATTTTGAGAATGACTTTTACCTCTTTAATTTGTTTAGGGGGTTTTGTAAATATCTTGTCCACATTATGTATATTTGTAGGGTTTGCGTTGTTCTTGGGTTTGATCTTTGGGACAAACATTATTTGTCACGTTAATTTATTTGGTTTTTGTGTATACGTCCTTCGTCTTGTAGACATTTGTAAATTTGGTATTTAATAGTTTTATTCAGGTTTACATTTTAATTTAAACTTATTGATGTTAGGTGATCACACAATCAATTATATCTGTAGTTGGATGGGGTTGAAGTTGATGATGGGCTGCTTTATTTCCCGAATATCCAGTTCTGAGTTGGGTTGTTGAAAAACCTGCATATGTAGAAACACGTGAGAGGACAGGGACTGGTTCCCCCATGATTTCTCTGACAATCAAGTCAGCTGGTAAGCTTGAGTGGGGAAAATAAAGAACTTTGAGAGTTCTTGTGTGTACAATATAAATTGTAGAGAAGATGAGATCTACCGATCCTTTGAATGAAGGAATAGTACCTCTTGTTTATAGTAGCATTGAAAGGGTAGAATCGTCATTGTGACACAGGATGGAAGTGAAGAAATATGGGCTGGCGGCTATGCCAACACTCATTTTACAAGTGTCAGTTGGCGACTGGAGGAGAGATCACCTCGGCATTGAATGGGTAGTGATCCGATGAGTCATGACGGTGCTAACGTGATCCGATGAGTCATGAAGACTATCGGGGCTATAGGTATGATGGTGTCTGCCAAGCTTTAAATATGATGCTGACACATTGTCAGTGGGAGAGGCTCGAGGCTGAGGTTGTCCTCTAGCTTCATCGAGAAGTAACGCTTTTCGAGTCGACCTCGTGAGGCGTCGAGTAGATGGTCGAGTGGGCTCATTGCGAGTCGTCTTCGACAAAATGGGCGACAAGTACTACCTTTCGAGTCGACACGAGGGAATGTCGACTTGGCGAGTCGGCTGAGTTGTCATCCTTATTGGTCTTCGACCACCAACTTGATTAGGACATTGCATGCAGATGTACAACTATCCGCTGCTAGCAAAGGGTCGCACTTAGACACCATAACAAATCTATATCATCATCTTCATACTATGTATATTAAATACAAATTCATCAATTTATCAACTTACTCTTTCTTAATGGATTATTATTTGAATTCCAATGGTATTTTTGTCAACCGAAAGATTTTTTCCGAATTCGTGATTTTAAATGGAGTATGATATTGTTATGATCATTCATCGCACCAAAATAGGAGTATCAGAAGAATACATGCATAAGCCCAAGCGAGCAATGGTCCGAATCAACTTTAGAGGCTCAAAAGTACAGTCAGAGCTAGGTTCATCGACTAGATGAGCAGACAAGCCTTATTCCGATCGACAGGTCATTATGGCCGACTCGAAGAACGAGATCAGTCGTTCCCTCGCAATTAAGACGACTCCTAGAGCAGATGACTCGATTACACGCCTGACCCGAAGTCCACTCGACTGTCGAGTCACCAAATTATAACGATGGTTCACGGATCAACCTGTCTTGACTAAAGGGATAAGATCCGACCGGGATCACTCCAAATGTCACTCAAAGCTACAGCATTGACCAGTCCTATCAAGATATACGCTCTGACAAGGATCTCCAGCACGAGCCGTTTATTCGACTTACAAGTCATTTCCCAGAAGATCGCCATAATGTTTTCCTGTGCACGAGTGACTTCTCCTCCAATCGCCAGTCGCCATCTGAAGAAAGAAGGACATCCACACAGCCGACCTACCCTACACCCTGCCTAATCTGACAAACCCAGAGCACTGAGAAGACTTCTCTCCACTGACACCGAGTGACTTCCCTCACAGTCGCCTGCCGACACCTGGAGGAAGAAAGATGACTCAGCCGTCTGTCTATCCACCTTTCAAACCGCCTCCTATGCATAGTCAATAAAAACCAAGGGTCAAACTCCAGGAGGCAAGTGGGCTATAAAGGGAGGTAAGGAAGGTAAGGCGAAGGAGGTTGGCAACTTCTTTTGGCACCTAAGCTTTTCTCCTTCTTTTGTATTTTTAGTACTTCCAGCAACTAAACCCCCGGGCAAGGATTCAATGGCTCAGGGGCCTCTCAATGAACCCTCCTCAAGTTCATCAGCTGACTTGACCGCCGGAGGTACCACGGGAAAAACTAGTCTCGTATTCCTGCGATTCTTGCATGTGCAGGCTATCAGTCCACCCCGCGCGCTCAGAATCAGGCATAAAGTCGAAGGAAGAGTCGGCCCCAACATTCATCCTCTCCTTCTTCCCCATCGTCGCTAGGACAGCAGCTGCATCTGACAACGGGAAACCTTCATCGACTGTTTGTTTACGAGCATCAACAGATATGATATGATATAAAGAAATGAAGTACGATGTTTCCTTTTCTTTAGAATAGAAAAGGCCATTTCCAATAAGTATTCATTTATAATTCATTGAAAATATAACTATATCATTGTACCTTCACATATATGTATTCATATTTATTTCTGTTCTATATTCAGAACAAGTCATAATCAACCCCAAAATGATAAATCAATCATTATTGAAATATGAAGTGAATTTATCCCTGCATCACAGCTACACTTAACCGTTAAAAAATCCCAATCTAAACTACATTTACTAGCCAAAAAATAGAAAAAAAATGTTAATCTCTCGATCTATTCATGATCTAAACAAGTCATAATGATGATTGACTTTTCTAGACGGAATTTTCTGTCTAAGATACTCCGTTTTTTAGCAGTGTCTAGATACACCTAACAATTCAATTAACTAGCTTATATTAGGCCCATTTAGCCATGAGAGACATGCCTCCAGCGCCAAAGAGCACTGCCGCAAACGACCACAACTGGAGCCCGATGCTGCTCTGAAGTTTAGGACCCATGAAATCTGCAGCTAAGAGATCAACAAGCGCCATGTAATTCAGCAGCCCAGCCGAGCACGCGTTCAGCAATCCCTCGACGATGAGGGCTGTCGGGCTGCTGTCGCTGTACACGTTCGTCAGTGCTATTCCAAGCGCAATGCCGAATGGGGTTGTAGTCGCGAAGAAGAAGGCCAGGATTGATTTCATCTTTAACCCGTACTCCGCCTGTAATTAAAACATCGCGCACAGTTTGTGTCAGTAATTGAACAAACTAATACTGTAACATATAATTTAGAGTATATATAGTACGATTTCTATAAGTAAGCTGGCTATGAATGACGTCCATAGAAAATCACGCGTTATATTTAACCTCGGTATAGCATTAAAGTGTGTTATTAATGCCAGGTCTGCTGTTAGTTTTATTATGATCAGCTTGTGGTTTCAAGATGGTAATTAATGAGGATATGATCAAAATACTTTTAATCAATAGTAGCCAGTACTAACCATTTCAAAACTTTCCCAATAAACTTGAAAAGATTGAACAAACTGTACATGCTATAAAAATAACTGCCTAGTAAAATACGTAGATGAAATTAAAATTAAAGATAGCCTTACCTGTAGGATGCAACCACCGAGACCCATTCCTTCAAAGAGCTGATGAAAACAAAGCGCAGCCACCAAAGGCCTAATCGTACAAGGACTCTGAGATGCCCCCATTGACAACCCAATCACCACAGAATGAACCACAATTCCCATTTCCAAAACCTAGCCCCCATTGACAACCCAATCACCACAGAATGAACCACAATTCCCATTTCCAAAACCTAAAAAAATTCAACCACAAAATTTTAAAAAAAAAAACGAAAATGAAAAAGCTTCCAAAATTACAACAAAAATATCAGAAATGTTGGCTCACCTGCGCTACAATCCGATGCCTAGCGATCGTCGGATCCTGTGCCAAATCCTTACCACCTCCGTTCGCCGCGACAATCTCTTTACTCTTCTGACTCTCGTGATCCACAACCGACGCAGGTCCGCAGCTATGCCTTATATTGAACCTCGCCATCATAAGCGAATCGATCATCAACGTGACCAACGCGGAGAGCATCGCGGCAAAAGTCGTGAACGGGAACTTCCTCCAGGGGTTCTCAGGCAAGCACGGCGAATGCAGATCATCGAACGAGTCGGGCAACACGTGCATGTACCCCGTAGCAAGAATCACGCCGGAGGCGAACGCCTTGACGAGCACGAAAATGTTGGCGCCGGGCCTCAGGGCCGGCACTGAGCGGGAGAATAGCGGTAGGCAGACGCCGATCATGCTTGCTACCAAGATACCGGCGATTGCGATGAGTTTGAGCCGGAGGGCTTCGGGCGGCGGCGGTGGAGATGAGGAGGAGGAGAGTGGTGGTGATGAGAGTGGATATTTTGGGGGACATCGTTCGGTTAGGGGTTGTGATTAGGGATCTAGTTAGTAGGATTTATAGAGACTGAGTTAGTGTCGAGATTAGCGGGAGCATAATTTTTGAAATGGTTCTTTGGACTGATTTGCCCTTGAATTTGCTACTGATTTACGTTGAGTTTGTGGTTATTAGGCGGTTGATAAGGTAGAGTTTGAAGGGTGGGTTGGGAATTTTGAGTACGGCGTGTGTTTTCCCGAAGGAGGCACGCGCGGGAGTGTGCTGTACGGATGGGGGGAGAAGGTGGAAGGTAAAATGCGGCGTGAGCGTGAAGGGAATGAGTGTGGTAAAGGTGCTGGGTGGGAAATTTTAACCGTAGGGTTAAAATTTTGGATCGTTTAAGAATAATAATCTTACTTTTCCCCCCTCCTCTTATTCCAGCTAATTTTTTTCTCATATCTTAAAATCCACGGCAGATTATAGTTAATTAGGATATGGGGCCACAGGGCACTTCTTTATCAATTAATTTGACAAATATTCATAGTTTTAGACATGAACAAATTATCTCAAATTTTAGTGGAGATCTGTCTTTAGTTTTTAGAAACGCCAGCAGAACATAAAATCTCTCACCACGTTTTAAAAATTAATTCGTGCATTGTGGAAATACCTAAATAATTTGACATTTATGCACTAGTAGAAAATCACGTATTCTAAACGGAATATTCTAGATAGAATTTTTTTTGTCTAGTTTGCTATTAAACTAGACAGAAAATTTCTGTCTAGTTTGCTATTAAACTAGACGGAAAATTTCCGTCTAGGCTAAAACATTCTAAACGGAAATTTCTGTCTACGATAGCAAAATAGACGATTCTTTTATATTTATTTTTTTTAAAAATTGGTCAAATATCCTAGATGAAAATTTTCGCCTAGGATACTTGGCCCATTTTTTTTAAAAAAAATTAACCCATCAAAACCCAGCCGCCCTCCTTTCCACCCAAAATCGAAATTTTCATCCCTAAAATCGAATTTCATCCCCCAAAGTCGAAATTTTCAGGAACTCCCCCCCCCCCCCCCAAATCCTCAACACGAAGTTCATCCCCAAAGTCGAAATTTTCAGGGAAACCCCCCCCAACCCCCAATCCCTTCGTCTCCACCTCCCTCCTCAACATGTACACCCGCGCCAAGGGGGTCCCTTCCGCGCGCGCGGTCTTCGACTCCATGCCCCAGGAGTCGGTCGGGATGGTCATCACCGCCATGGTAATGATCACCTACTATGCGAAACCCGGCGATTTGGAGAGCGCGCGACAGATGTTTGAGCGAACGATCGGGCGAGATTGCGTCTGTTGGGACGCGATGATCGATGGGGTACGCGGAGCACGAGCGAGATTGCTATTCCCAGTAACATTTCTGTTGTATTTAATGTTCTCAATCATGTAATATATATATTTGTTTAGTAATCTTTATCCTCTGAATTATGGTAAATAATTGAAAATTTTAGTGCTATAGTTGATGATGTTGGAGTTTAATTTAGCTGTCCGATATCATATTATCGGTCAATATCTAATGACAAACTTTACTGAATTATATTTGAAGCTTCTATTGTTAACTGAAGCGAAGGTGATTGAAGTAAAGCATCCGAAGTTGAGGCTATGTAAGTTTCTTGTTAGGCTTTCATTATTTAAATTGATTGTAATATAAAAATTTATTACTTCTACTTTTTGCATTTCTATTATATTAAATATTGTTGGAAACATATACAATAGTTTGAAATTTTTATTATGTTATTATTAGTATGTTTGCAGTACAATTCAGCGCACCGTCTCTAATGAACAAGTGTACTTAATTCTTCGTTTATATTACCAATTACATTCACTACAACCACTATTTTCAATTTATACCATTCTAGTATCTTGCAAAATAAAATACACACAATTATATGTTATTTGATAAATACACATATATGGATAGGACAAATGCTCCAATTCATGTCGTATGCTTTAATTTATGAACTGTATTTTGGCAAATTTCATGTAGTACACTTAACTATATATGTTTATGATGATCTTCAGTCTTTACTGTGGTTTCCATTTGTGAGAATATTCTTAATTAACCAACCTAGAATAGCGTTAGAGATGAAGAGTTTAGATTCACTGATATAGAATATTGTTAGCCTGTCATTTTTTATACATACATATGTATACTGCAGGGATCACCACAGAATGACAAATGATGGGAAAAATTAGTAATAATTTAGTCCATGCAAACAGGCCGAACTGATTCTTTTTGTACTTTTATATTAATCATATAAGCATGTCTTCCTTTTGATTCTTTCAAAAATGACTACTCAATGTTTGATTTTGACCATTTTTCTTATGTATCTAGTGGATTCTAACTCTAGGTCATAATTTTTGTCAGGTTATGTTATGGAAGGAGAGGTCTAAAGTTGTATAACCTCTTCTTTTAGATGATTGAATGCAAACTTTATATCGAGTTGGGATAACTGCTCGCATTATCTATCTCTAGCATATTCAAACTTTAGTTTGGTTGCCACGCTTGAAGTTGAATCTTGGTATTGTTTTCTCAACAACTTTCAGTGCCTTATCTGCATTGGATAAGTAGGAGAAACAGCTAGGTGAGGAGACGCTGAGGGGGGAATGGAGATGTTGGGAAAGGAGACGCTGAGGGGAAGGGTCATTAAAGAAATCTAGAAATTATCTGTGAATTGGTTCAATTGACGATTAGAGTTATCAGAGAATTGGTTCATTTCTCATGATTTTAATGATAACAAGTAGTATATTATGTGCTATTGAGGTCCGGCTTTAATGCGGATGAGGTTACAGCCGTCACAGTGCTGTTTGCTGTGGCGCAGTTGGGGTCGTTGGAGCCGGGAAGTGGGTGCATTCTTATGTTGAGAATCATAGGAGAAATATTGGGTTTAGTGTGAGAGTAGGCACGACGTTGATCGATCATACTCCCTTTAAAAGCACGAGTTCGGAAAATCTTTTTTAGACAAATATACCATTTTATAGTTTAAACTACCTTATCTATAATCAAATTCTAATTTTCAATGGTCAATATTACCCTTCACTATTTTGAATATTTTATTTATATCTTAATCTATCCTAATCATAATCATATCTTATCCTAATCCTATGTGAACCATGTTTAGCTTAACAATTTAAAAAAACTAATATTAATAAAATATATAAAACATAAAAATAAAATTAGTTTGTTAAGATAAAGAAATTACAAGTAGATAACATATTATAATACATGAAGTATTGCAAAAAACCATAAAAAGTTTTAAAATTGCAGAAAAGACCCTGAAAAGTTCAAAATTATAAACTCATCCAAATGTCTCAAAACTTAAAATAAAAAACATGAAATTAAAAAATTAACATCAGTTTGTAAAAAATTTAAATTTTACAGTTAACACCTCAATGTCTCAAAAATTATAGAAACACCCTCAAAAGTTTAAATTACAGACAAGCACATTAAAATTCAAAATTTTAAAACTTACAAACAATACATATTGAATTCAAGAGATTACCATGATACACCTAAAATTTTTGACATTTAAATTTAAATTTTTTAATTAACACCATCAATATCTCAAAAATTATAGAAACACCTTCAAAAGTTCAAATTAAAAAAAACCACCCTAAAATTCTAAAATTTGTAAATAAAATAAGATGAATTCAAGATATTACCCTTAGACACCTAAAAATTTAAAATTTGCCAAAATTAACCTCAAAATTTTTAAAAAACTCCTTCAAAATTTAAAAATCGTAAAAAAAACTCTAAATTTTCAAAATTTTTAGAAAATTTTACCAATATATATATATATATATATATATATATTTACATTAAAATTTCTAATTTAGGGATTTACTATCCATTTTCAGGATCTAAGAATAGTCTAAGTTGATACTGGTAAACAAAAACAATAAGAATTAATTAAAAACATCCGGTTAATGAATAAAATTTTTAAAAATATTATAGATTAAAAATTATCGGCACCATATAAATTAAAGTAATTTCATAATTTTAGTAATAAGTTGGGGTAGCCAAAATACATTCGTAACATTAATTGATAGATGTTTAAATCCATAGAAATGATAAAACACTATAATATTATACCTTCTCATTAATTGATTTTAATTTAGAAACTTTAATCTTTGACGTTAATAATATTTATAGGGTAAAAGAATACAAGAAATTACATATGGAGAAAGTATTAGAATATTTAGAGATAACTTTAAAAGAATTGAGTTATTTCCATTGCAAATGGGAAAGTGATGGAAATAAATCTAAAATTCAGAAAACGTCAATGAATCACTTGAATTGGCATTAACATAAGACATA